ATCCTGAGCAAGAGAGGCAGGATGGGAAAAAGCATACCCCAGGCATCTCATATCTCAGAAGGCCTTGTGAGAGTCTTAATAAGGTGGGTCAAGGCAGTCTCTTCTGGGAATATTGATGGAAAAATTGGCAGGACCTTTCTGTGTTCTCACAATCAAAATGACATTTTCTTCAAGGATCCAGATGTGAGCAAAGCTAACCATTCACTCACTTTTAAAGCTAATAGATTTTAATTTTAGAAGGAAAAAAAATGTTTGGAAGTTTTAATTGTGTTTGAAAAATTTGATAAAGATTTAAAAGTTTCAAAAATTAAAATTTGAAAATGTATTTTAGGTTTGCAAATTTACTTCTGGAGAATTAAGTGCATTTAATTTTTGAAAATGTAAGTTGTTTGCTTTAATTTAGCAGTTTAAATTGGACAATGTGAATGTTTTAAAAAATTTAACAGTATCACAGTTATTTTCTTAAAGAACTTGTTGGTCTCTGCATGTGTATAGACAAGTCATCCAAATACATCAAAATAATCTAATTTAAACACCATTTATATATATACTGCTACGTGTCAGATGCACACACAATGTAGCCCATGCATCACACTAGCTGTGCTCTCCCTGTCTACACTGGCAGACTCCCACTTTCTCCATCAATCAGGCTCACTCTGCATCTCCCTGCAGCCCTGGGCACCCACCAGGCTCTCCCTCTCTATTGCTTTATGCTCAGCCAAGGGCCCTCCTTACCCAAATGGCACACAAGGAGTCCCTTGCCCTCTGGAGAGGTACTGACAAGCTCAGTGGCCCCCAATACAACCTCTGATGCAGCCTGACACTTCCTTTTTCTCTCCAGATGACCCAAATGGGCATACGCATCCACAATAATACAGGGGATGAGTGTTACCAAAAGACCTGCATGATTTCGGAATCTTCAGGGGCCCCACACTCTCTAGGAATGTCTAAAGTGGAATAACCAGTCCTGGAGTGCTTGCATGTCCCTGCATCAGTTCCATTGCAGAGAACTCCTCCAGTTTCCCATTCCTGCTTTGTAAGGCATGTGATGAGAGGAGAAGACTAATGATCTTAACACTGGTGGTTTCAAATGCAACAATGAATGAAGTGGGAGCACGTGTGGGGAACAGGAACCCAGAAGCAAGGCTCTTGAGCTGGGGAGCTGATAAAGCAAGAGTGCCATTCTGCTAGCACAATGGTAAATGGCAGCACTTGATGGTACCTTGTCATGTGTGTGTGTGTTTGAAATTGTCATTAATAAAATGCTTATCCACTGCAAGCACAAATATAAAGAGCATCAAACTATAAAAAAAAAAATTAAAAGGGAAATCCTAGTGCGGGGTGCCCTCCCTTCCCATGATTCCTCAACTTGGGGAGAAGTGGTCTTCCTCCAGCAACTCAGCAGATTTTCATTGAAGGAAATTTTGTCGTCGGTTTCCTTTTTATAGCACCTAGAGGTGCTGTACAAGTCATGCGTATGCTCAAATGAGAGTGCTCACTCTGTTCTCCAAGTTTCCATAAGAGTGTTGAGTATAGACCCAGAGAGTAGAACCATTAAAGTCAACTCCTTTGAGTGGCATTTGAGATAGCAACCTACAGATGCCCACAAACATCTAAGTCTTTGGCTTTCCCTACTGGGCTTTGGAAAGGTGCCATGAAACTCCTTTAATATAATTTAAGCTGGGCACAGTGGTACATGACTGTAACCCTAGTGGCTCCAGAGGCTGAGGCAGGAGAATCCTGAGGTCAAAGCCAGCTTCAGCAACTTAGCAGGTCGCTTAGCAACTCAGTGAGACTGTGTCTAAGTAAAATTTTTAAATGGCCTGAAGATGTGGCTCAATGGTTAAGCACCCCTTGGTTCAATCTTCAGTACCCTCCAAAAAACATTTAAATATTTAGTTGATAGTTTTACTCTGACTATAATCCATTGCATTTTGACAACATGTAAACATAAGGAAGTTGTTGGGTGTATTAGAAATATTCTAAAACTCTTCAGGTTTTTGATCATCTATAAAAAATTTTCTTTCCCAGAGCATTTAAAATATGTGTGGGCATTTTGTTTCAAGGCACAGACACATAACTGTAAACTCAGTGACACAAGAGGCTGAGGCAGGAGAAGTGCAATTCTGAGGTCAGCCCCAGGAGCTCATCAATTTAGCAAGACCCTTTCTCAAACAAACAAAAAAAAATGAAGAGTAGATATATTGCTCAGTGGTATAGCAGCTCTGGGTTCAATTCCCAAAACCAAAAATTATGTAGTTTTTATAGTAATACTGTCTCACACATAGGTCTTTAAAAATATGCCACCAATATTCTATGTCACTTTAGGTAAAATAGAGATATAGTATAATCACCATTATTCCACTTAACCTCCTGACCCACCTGCCTAGCAGTCTCCCTTCTCTATTGAAGGTGAATGATTATAAGATTGTCATACATAACTGGTTTGAGACTTACCATATTGTAGCAGTTATTTTCTGGTTCATTTGGGAAACTGATTATTCTTCATAAAAACAAGTAAAATTAGGGGAAGATGTAAATATACTGTGTATTTATGTATGTGTGTTTTAGAAAGTGAGGGGCTCATGCTATACTACACAATTATAGTGTGATGAATAAAGGAAACACACCACATACTCCCCACATCTAAAAATGACATGAGGGGCTGGGTTTATAGCTCAGTGGTAGAGAGCTGGCTTCACACATGTGAGGCCCTGGGTCCAATCCTCAGCACCATATAAAAATAAACAAATAAAAATAAAGATATTTTGTCCATCTACAACTAAAAAAAAAAATTTTAAAAATTAAAATGACATGAAAACTTCCCATTTTGAAGCATGCTGTTGTAACGTGCTGATGAGCACATTTGGTGGCATTCAGTGTCAAAGTGCCTAAGACAGGAACACATAGCAATGCAAAAAAGAAAAAGAAAAAAGAAAAACATCTGGAGTGACTGATCTTTTCTATAAAACATATAAATTTACGACTCAGGTATCCACTTCTGGTTGTGTTAAAAGCAAAAGATGGGTTTGTAAACACAGTTTCATAGGAAAAATTAGTTCTAGGGCTCTCGGGTCCAATTACACAGTAGGATGACTATATATATTAATGTGCAGTGCATTCAAAGATGAATAGAAACACTCTCAATGATGCAAAATATTAGAAATGAAAAATATGTGAATTACTAATTGTATCATATGATATATACATATATTGAAACTTCACTCTGGGCCTAATAGTTACAATACCTATCTGTAAATTGAAAATTATTTAAAAATGCAGTAATGTGGATTCAAAAATGCAGTAATGTGGGCTAGGTTTGTAACTCAATGGTAGAGTGTTCGCCTAGCCTGCATGAGGCACTGTATTTAATTCTCAGCACCACATAAGGATAAATCAATAAAATAAAGACATTGTGTCATTCTACATCTAAAAATACTTTTTAAAAAATGTAATAACTCCCAAGTCACTCCCAAACTACAATTTAACTTGCCTTAGAAAACTTTTAAATAACTCATGAGAACTATCGCTGTATAGATGACCTGAAGTGAAGACAAGCAGAAAACGTGTAGCCATAACCCTTAGAATGAAGAATGGCTGGTCACTGTGTAGCTGAATCTTAAATAAAAAGATCTCTCACATACACTGCTTCCGTGTTTGTTATCATAAATTCAATATTTACATATCCCAATAAATTTAAATAAAATCAGTATTTGTGGGTGTTCCATTGACCCAAAAAGCTAACACTACAAAAAAAAAACTAAGGTAATATTTTTTTTATTTTGTGCTTAGCTTTTAAATAGGATTTATAGACACTCCAGTGCCTTATCTGAATAAAAATTTTATTTTTCCCTGTGTGTTGGTATGTTTTCCAGTTCCACTTAATACATAAAAAGGGACAGGTATAATTTGGAGTATCTCATATAGATTCAGTGCTAGAGAAGTTTGGGAGCCTGTATCATACACTATATATCCTTTAATCCCAGAAGTATGACAACCATTGTAAAGTATAGAGTAGAATAAAAGGTAGCCAAAATCAAAAGATACATAATATTATAAAATATGGGGGAAGCTTCCATATTCCATGAGTATGGCTCTTTCTTTTCACCCTCATTATTGGACAGTTCTTTCTGGTTAAACTTTCCTGATGGTTGCCCAAGTCTAAATAGGCATTTGATATTGGACAAAAACATTTTTCTAAATTATTTGACATGAGTGAAATCTCCTCAGGGGTGAGTTACTCCTGGGGCCTTTATGATGAACTGCTTGGTTTCTTCGAGTTTTTGTTGTTGTTGTTGTTGTTTTCTACCAGACATGCCAGGAACCAGGATGGGTCAGTGTCCAGCTGAACATGTTGCTTCCTGGGCAACCATCAGGAATATGTCTCTCCAATGGTTCTCCTTTTCACAAAATATGCCCTGGTGACTCTTGGTTTCTGGAGTATTCAAAATCCCTGTGTTGGGATGTTGTTTTGCTTTCTCAAATTTCAGGGCTTTTAGAAGTACTGCCATTCTATAAGGTAAAAAAATGTGTTTGATACAAGGGATTGAATTCAGTAGTGCTTAAACACTGAGCCACATCCCCTGTGATTTTTATTTTTATCTTGAGACAGGGTGTCATAAGTTGCCTGAGGCCTCAATCAGTTGTGGAGACTGGCTTTGAACTTGGGATTCTTCTGCCTCAGCCTTTTGAGTTGCTGGGATTAAAAGAATGGGCCACCCTGCCCAGCACCTATATGGTAAAAGATTAATGTACTAATTCAAGATAGAGAAATCTGGTGCTTATTTTCATGTTCTTATATCTTATGCATAACTGTCTTAATGTCTTCATAATTACAAGAAGAATAAAGGTCTGATTTATGGGAAATTATTTTCTAAAAGAATTGATGCTTCTAAATATTACTGGAGATATTTTATTTTATATCTGTTATGTAGAACCTTTAGTAAAGAGGAACTGTGTCACCAGTGAGATAGTAAATCATGATTCAACACATAAAACTGTTAACACATTAACACATTTTTACTTTTATTCAGTAACCAAATGCATATAAAATGTTAATAAAGTATTTCAAAATACACTGTAAAGTCTCAAAAATATATATTAACTCTCAGGAAAAGACTTCTCATAAAATGATCTATGTTTGAAATTTTTTTCTCCAGTTTTCAAAAGTTAGAATATTGAGTAATCTTTGATTTATAATATATTCATATCTTTTCAGAGATTAGTTTACTGCACTATTCTATGATACTTGTGAGAATTTCTTTATTTTTAACCACATCAGCTTATAATAAATTTTAACAAAACTTAAAGGCAATTCCTAATTTCTTTCCCACATACATCATGATATGACTTACAGATGAGGACTTTGCTATATTTTTTATATTTCTAATGTGTTTTCTCCATTAAAGATATTTTGCTGTTATTTAAGGCATGTATTTCAGGCAAATGTCTTTCCACATTCCCTATAGGTATCTGGTTTCTAATGTTAAAAAAAATTGAAATTCGTTAGGCACAGTATTTACATTGTTCAGGGTTTTTATGCACTCTGAAGTCTCCAGTGAGTAATAATGTTTTTAGCAATTGCTAAAAGGTCTGCAACAGTGTTTACACTTGCATTGTCTGTCCCCATTTTTATTTCTCTGATGTTGAACAAAGCATGCTCCTAGATTAAATCTTTTCTTACATTCTTCACATATAAAGGGCTTCTCCAATATGAATTTTCCAGTGTCAAATAAGGCATGTTCTTTGAGTAAAATCTTTCATACATTCTTCACATTTGTACAGTCTCTCTCCTGCATGAATTCTTTGGTGTCGAATAATGCACTCTCTGAGAGAGACCTTTCCCAAATTTTTCACATTTTAGGGCTTCTCTCCAGTATGAACTCTCTGGTGTCGAGTAAGGTGTGCTTTTAGATTAAAACTTTTCCCACATTTTTCACATTTGTAGGGCTTCTCTCCAGTATGAACTCTCTGGTGTCGACTAAGGCATGATTTTTGAGTAAAACCTTTCCCACATTCTTCACATTTGTAGGGCCTCTCTCCAGTGTGAATTCTCTGGTGTTTTGTGAGATTTGAGTTTCGATTAAAAGTTTTGCCACATTCTTCACATTTGTAGGGCTTCTCTCCAGTATGAAGTCTCTGGTGAATTGTAAGTCGAGATCTTCAGTTAAAAGCTTTGCCACATTCATTACATTTGTAGGGCTTCTCTCCAGAATGAATTTTCTGGTGTCGAGTAAGGCATGCTCTTAGATTAAAATTTTTCCCACATTCTTGACATGTGTAGGGCTTCTCTTTAGTATGAAATCTCTGGTGTTGAATAAGGCATGCCCTTAGTTTAAAATCTTTGCCACATTCTTCACATTTGTAGGGCTTCTCTCCTGTATGAATTCTCTGGTGTCGAATAACACATGTTCTTAGAGTAAAACATTTCCCACACTCATTACATTTGTAGGGCTTCTCTCCAGTATGAATTCTCTGGTGTTGTATAAGGTTCCCTCTTTGAATAAAAGCTTTTCCACATTCTTCACATTTGTAGGCCTTCTCTCCAGTATGAACTTTCTGGTGTTGAGTAAGACATGCTCTTAGATTAAAGCCTTTCCCACATTCATTACATTTGTAGGGCTTCTCTCCAGTATGGATACTCTGGTGCTGAGTAAGGTGTGAACTTTGATTAAAACCTTTGCCACATTCTTCACATTTGTAGGGGTGCTTTCCAGTATGAATTCTCCGGTGTTTGGTAAAGTATGAATGATCTATAAAAGCTTTGCCACATTCTTCACATTTGTAGGGCTTCTCTCCAGTATGAAGTCTCTGGTGTTGAGTAAGGTGTGATCTTTGATTAAAAGCTTTGCCACATGTTTCACATTTGTAGGGCTTCTCTCCTGTGTGAATTCTCTTGTGTTGGGTAAGGTATGCTCTTTGAGTAAAATTTTTGCCACACTCTTCACATTTGTGGAGCTTCTCTCCTGTGTGAATAGTTTGGTGTTGAGTAAGAGTTGAAAAACTCGTACAAACTTTTCCACATTCTTTACATTTGTAGGTTTCCTCTCTGCTATGCCATCTCAGGTGTTTGAAAAGGGTTGAGTGATTTTTAAAGCATTTGCCACATTCTTCACACTTGTAGGGATTCTCTCCAGTATGAATTCTGTGGTACTTAACTTGGGGTGGTTGTTGATTAAAAGTTTTGCCACATTCTTTAAATTTGTAGTGTTGATCACTTCTATGGAACTTGTGGTGTTTAGAAAGGGGTGAGCAACTCCATGCTTGGACACATTCCTTAAATTTGGGGGGCTCCCTTCCAGAATGTGCTCCACTGTATTGAGGAAGGCTAGCAGCTGGATTAGAAGCTCTCTCACATTCCTCACATTTGCAAGGTGCCTCTTGGCCCTGAGTACTTGGATGGGTCATAAGCTTTGAGCACTGAGGAAAGATGTTCCCACATTTGTCATTTCTGAAAGGGTTCTGTGCACAATGGCCACACTGATGTTCTCTCATATTGCAACCAGAGCTAGAGTTCTTCTGTGTTTTTCTATATTTATAAATTTTTTCTCCAATATAAGTACACTGGTAATTGTTTAGAGTGGAAACCTGGCTAAAGGTGTTTCTTGTTTCATTATGCGTGTTCCATACTTTCCAGAATTCTATGTTTGAGTTTTGATTAAGCAGTAATGAGTACACAGAGGCCTTGCCACAATCATTAAAAGTATATGTTTGGGCACAAGAAGGAATTTTTTGTTCACTTCTGAATAATGGATCATTTTTTAAAAATTTTTCAAAGTGATCACTTTTAGAAACTTGTCCTTCAGTTATATATTGAATTCTTTTCTGAGGTATTAAACGTTCTTGAGGCCTACTGACAGTAAAATTTTCATTATGGACAGTCACCACTAATTTTTCTTGTCCTTTATAGTATAATTTCTGAATTTCACTCTCACCTATACTATCCCATACTTTCTTCTGTTGTAAATAGTCAAGGACACAATTTCCATATTTTCTATTTATCACTTTTTTAAATAAATGTTCTATGCCAGGCTCTGGTGTAATTTTCTGGGTATGATGAAAGTTCATGGCTGAAATAAATAAAAATAACAATTATTTTACATATTAGATTGGGAATATACTTTGTAAATATAACATGAAATTATAGTAGTTAGGACACCAGCAGGGTGGCAGAAGAGTGCATCACAGACCATCATGACTCCATAAATATATAAGCTAAGTAACAATGGAAAGATAAAATTTCTGTGAGGGCTATAATAGTAGCTCAGTATGTGTGAGACACTGGGTTTGATTCTCAGCACCACATATAAATAAATAATTGACAACTAAAAAATATTTTTTAAAAAATTTTCTTTTTGAGAATTACCAAAACAATGTAAGAGTTCACAGTATTTACGATGTGTATATCATTAAGGAGAGTAATACAGCAGAAAAAAGGTGTGTGTTACTTTTATCCACTCCAGTTCTTCCTCTTCCAGAATATACCATTATACAAAAATCCACCAACTGTCTTCTCTCTAATAGAAAATAGGAAATGTGAAAGGTGAACATTTATGGCTTTTTCAGGGACTGTCTGAAAACCACTTTCTGTCTATCATGAAAGAGTCCTGGATATAAGAGATAGATTTTGGATAACAATAACACAGATATTCCACGGGGTTAAAGAATATATGGTCTCAAAGGAGAAATAGGGACAAATCTTTTTAATGGGAACACACACACACACACACACACACACACACAAACACACATATGCACTCACAGCCAATATCAGTATTACCTGGATGAAATCACTACAGCACTATTGAGGTGAATGGCTTGCTTTGTAATCTTTATAATCTTTGGTATTTACTGATTTGTTCCATTGACAAACTAAATTTCATGTTACTAGGGAAGATATAAATGAATGGTGAAATGACTAAATCTACCTAATTCACAAGTGCATTATTTCACATAATTATCATTTTAGTGCTTAGTAAACATTGCATTAATTCTATTAGCATTCATCAAGAATACAGTATATTAGCTTGTGTGGGGGTACAAGTCTTAATTCACAAAACTTGGGAGGCAGAGGCAGGAGGATCCCAAGTTCAAAGTGGCACTCAGCAACTTAGCAAGGCCATAAGTAACTTAGTGAGACCCTGTCTCAAAATGAAAAATAAAAAAGGGCTGGGAATGTTGCTGAGGTGTTAAGTGCTTCTGTTTTTAATCCTTGGTACTCCACTTCCAAAAACAAAGAAGACTACATTACACTCACCATGGGTACAATAGAACTCTTTACTTTTTCATGTCCATTACAATAATACTTTGCAGACATTGACCAACACAATATCTGGTAACCATTTATTCTCTGCACTTCTGAGTCAGAAGAAGCTGCAAATTACATTTTGTGTGTGCCCTATTTTACATAATGCAAAGCACTTCATATTCATCTCATGACACTTTAAGTGATAAAATATCTTCTTTTTACTGTTCATTTATTGTGTATAAAAACATTTTTTTACTCATTAAATTAAGGATGAACACATATGTTGAGTCCATGTCCTGACAATTGTGAAGAATGCTTGCACTGAACATTGGTAGTGAGATATTTCTCCAACATGATGATTTAATCTACTCTGAATACCTATTTAGAATTTGCATTTTCAGATCACAGAGTCATTCTACTTTTAATGTTTTATGAGCATTACCTAGGATTAAGCCTAAGAGTGCTGTACCAGTGTGTTACAACATAAACCTTTTTAAAATTGTTTATTTGGAGACATGGTGTCACTAAGTTGCCACAACATGCCTCAAACATAAAATCCTCTTGCATGTTTTCCCAATTACTTGAGATTATAAGCATGTATTACTGTGTTTGCCTATTTTTCAGTTCTTTATTAATGTTCATATTGTTTTCCAAAATGACTACTAATCTAGTATTGGCTGTTTTTTTTAATATGGACAAATAAAAAATAGAACAGTACACAAAGAAAAAGAGACACTGACTTAATCAAAGAAACAAAACAAAACACTAGGAATTTAATATTAGGAAAGTGAGAGTTATGAATTACCCAAAAAAATAAAACAAAATTTTTTTGAAATAAATTTAGTAAACTAAACCAAAACATAGAAAACTGAAAACAAATTAAGGTAAAAATCATTAGTAGTAACAAGAAAAAGTTGTATGCTTGAAGAATTTCTTAAGAAATAGTGTTGAGAGAATCAGAGTGGCTGTGCACAGCTGTAATCCTAGCAACTTGAGAGGCTGAGCCAGGAGGATCACAAGTTTGAGGGCATCCCAGTGACTTAGTGAGATATGGTCACAAATTAAAAATGAGGGGCTGTGGTTGGGATCAGTGGTAAAGCACTTTCCTTGCATTTCTGAGGCACTGGATTCAATCCTTAGCATGACATAAAAATAAATGAATAAAATAAATGTGTTAAAATGCAAAAAAAGATTTAAAAAATAAAAAATAACAATGGCTGAGGAAAGGGACAATGGAAAAGCAACTGAGTTCAATCTTCAGTATCAATAAAAATGGCTGAGAAATTGTGAATGTGAACAATAAATAGAAGTCAAAATTCACAATTATCTCCAAAGGAAAAACACAAAGACTCAAAGCCCATTTTACTCAATTTTTTAACATTTATAAAGAGAGAATCTTGAGAGCCCCAAGAGAAAAAGACAAGCCCCTGAGAAAGATATTTGGATATAATTATTGGTTGATTTCTTTGTAGAAGCCTGGTACTACAGAAAAGAAGTGAGAAACAATGTTAAAGGGGTGGAAGAACAGAATTACCAATTAAGAATACTGCAACCAGAAATACTATCCTTCAAAAGTGAGGAAAAATAAAGCTTTTAAGTATATATAAATGCACCCAAACTTTATCACCACTTGACCTGTCCTGCAAAAATACTAAAGTAAATCTTTCATATAGAAAAATAAAATAAATGTGCCCAGCAACACAAGTCATGTGAAACTTTAAAGTTTTCCTAGCAAGAAGAAGTCATATAGCAATATAGAATTAAATTTTACTGAAATGATGGGACATAAACACTTACTTTTGAAAGATAAAAACTAAAAATCATCATAAACCTCTTAATGGGTATGCAATAACTATGCCAACAATAACATAATTTAAAAGGATATATAAATAAACTAAATTTTATTATGAAATTAATTTGTTGCCAGCTTAACATATAGTGAAAGCTTAAGTGATTTTATAAAATACCAAACTAAATGAAACAATACTCAAAGAATGAAGGGAAGTGAAAGGGGCATAAAACAATGTCACCATAAAAATCAGTGATACAAAAATCAAAGAATAACAGAAAGAAGAAAAGGAATAAAAGAAGCAAAGGAAATTTTAAAAAAATACAACTGTACGCAATCTACAGGAGACTCTAAATTTAAGGACGCAACATGAAGGCAAAACTATACAAGAATATTCTACAGAGCCGCCCCCTCCCCCTGCACCGGCAAGGTAGAGGGAACTGTGACCACGCACAGAGCAGGCCCAGCGGCCTGCTGAGGGGCAGAGCCGCCCCCCACCCCCCACGCCTGCCAGGTAGGTGGAACTGTGACCACCAACAGAAAAGGCCCAGTGGCCCGCGGCGGGACAGAGCTTCCAATCACTCCTGCAAGGTAGGCGGGCCTGCGACCCACCGGCAGAAGAGGAGCAGTGGCCTCCTGAGAGGCAGAGCCGCCCCCTCCCCCTGCGCCGGCAAGGTAGAGGGAACTGTGACCACCCACAGAGCAGGCCCAGCGGCCTGCTGAGGGGCAGAGCCGCCCCCCACCCCCCGCGCCTGTCAGGTAGGCAGAACTGTGACCACTGACAGAAAAGGCCCAGTGGCCCGCGGAGTGGCAGAGCTTCCAATCACTCCTGCATGGTAGGCGGGCCTGCGACCCACCGGCAGAAGAGGAGCAGCGGCCTGCTGAGAGGCAGAGCCACCCCCTCCCCCCCGTGCCTGCAAGGTAGACGGAACTATGACCACCATCAGAACAGGCCAGACCTGCAACCGAGAGACAGAACAGGCCCAGTGGCCTGAGGAAGGGTAGAGCCACTCCCCCCCCGCGCCTGCAAGGTAGGCGGACCTGCGACCCACTGGCAGTACAGCCCCAGAGGCCTGCAGAGGGGCAGTGCCGCTGCCTGCGCCTGCGAAGTAGACAGAACTGTGACCACCGACAGAACAAGCCTAGCGGCCCGCAGAGGGACAGAGCCGCCGCCCGCGCCTGCGAGGGAGACTTTGCAACTATACAAGACCAATATAAATATATAGGGGGAAAATTCAATAGCACAACAGTTTCACCAAGTAGAAAGGAAAGCGAACAGTATGAAGAGACAAGGAAAGAAAGGACCACAAGCATTGCAGGTCAACTCAACGTTAGAAGAGGTAATAGCTGCAGCAGATGGAATGTCAGATAAAGAATTCAGGATATACATGCTTCAGATGATCTGGAGTCTCAAGGAAGACATCAGACAGCAAAATCAGACAATGAAAGATCACTTCAACAATGAATTACATAAACAAATCCAAGAAGCAAAAGATCAACTATACAGGGAAATAGAGGTTATAAAAAACAAACAAACAGAAATCCTAGAAATGCAGGAAGCAATAAGCCAACTTAAAAACTCAATTGAGAATACTACCAGCAGAGTAGAACACTTAGAAGATAGAACATCAGACAATGAAGATAAAGTATTTCAACTTGAAAAGAACATAGACAGCTCAGCAAGACTGTTAAGAAACCATGAGCAGAACATCCAAGAAATATGGGATAACATCAAGAGACCAAATTTAAGAGTCATTGGGATACAGGAAGGGACAGAGTTTCAAACCAAAGGAATGAGCAATCTATTCAATGAAATAATACGAGAAAACTTCCCAGACTTGAAGAATGAGACAGAACCCCAAATCCTAGAAGCCTACAGGACGCCGAATGTGCAAAATCATAAGAGACCCACACCTAGACACATTATAATGAAGATGCCCAACATACAGAATAAGGAGAGAATTTTAAAAGCTACAAGAGAAAGGAAGCAGATCACATTTAGGGGTAAGCCAATCAGGATAACAGCTGATCTT